CTATCATTAATAGGATATCGTTAACTGGCTATCCTTAACTGGCTATCCTTAACAGGCTATCCTTAACTGGCTATCCTTAACATCTCTGAGCTTGGGTTAATAATCAGTTGCTAAAGCAGCACCTTCCGAGCTCAGGTCCCATGGTACTGCTCTAATTTGATCTAGATAAGTGATAAAATGCTAAGCTGAATGCTACATTATATGTAAAAGGTGACTGCTAATTATGAAATGCCATTCAGGAATATAGTGCATTGGATTGTTGAGGCTAAGAGAAGGTCGGGAGTTTTAGTACCGCTGCTGTAGGGTGCAAAATGCAAGACAGAGAAGAATGATTTTATTTTGTGAACTGAAAGTATTCTCAGAGCACAAGGGCGTCCTACAGTAGTAGTCATCAAATTGTAGCCACCCACAGGTCCACCAAGAGCAGGGTACAATCAAAACCTTAAGAGGCATACAAAGTGAGTACTATGCGTACCATACTAATACCGTGTTGACAGTTCCTTCAAAGAGGCAGGAGGCAAGGTTTTTACATTGTCCAAATGGGGAAGCCTACCCTCAGCCATCCACCGCACTGGGAGGGGTGTAGCGAGATATTCTGGACCTCCTGATAAAATGTCACCTCGATTCCCCCCGCTATATTTTGCTGGCAGGGGGGGATGTCTTCCCAAGTAGATTTAGCTGGGCAAGGGGGGAGGGGTGCATTTTGAGGTGTCCATTGGTGCACCCCTTAGGTATGCTAAATGAAATGTGTCATTATTGATGCAAGGATTATATACTGTAACTAAGACTGCCAAACTGGAGGACAGTGGGAGAGACATGCAAGCACCCCTACAGAAGAAGCAGGGCAGGGTTATTGAGGCGGTAAGACAGCTATAGAGGCAGTTTTATATAAATTTAAAATACTGTATGATAAACTTTACATGGGTTTATATAAACAAACATACTGTATCAACCCTGATATCAAGCCTTGTCCTACATTATATCAGTCATACTGCCACACCCTGCCCGCCACGTCCACCTAACCCTCCTAACCAGCCATGCTTCTTACTCGTTTGTCTTACCTCTCGTTCCTGCCCTTCACTCCAGCTGCCTCTAGTTTGCTTCCTCATCAGCCTTTTATGAAAGTGCTTCCCAGGCTTGTCCTTCCTAGTCCTGTCATTAATATCTGCCTGCCTGTGTCCATCTCTATTTGGATCCCTCACAATCTGACTTCTTTCCAAGTATCTGTTGGTTTGGCTTTTGCCCAAAAGGCCTTCCCTCGAGGCTTTCACCCTGCGCAGCGTAGCACGTATCTTACATCATATACCATCCTGTGATAGCAGTGTTACCTCATACCTGGAAGCCCCATGATGCATTAATATAATATTTAGGTTTACATTTTATAATATGTTGCAAAATGTTACTTACTCACATAAATAAACAATGCCTATTTTGTTGTGACATATAAATATGAATACTGGATCAGAGATTTTATGGTTTTATTGAGACAAAATTGCTAATTTTCCCAGGATGAAGTGAT